AGCTACGGACTCTGCTGATAAACTCTTCTCCAGAACCAACAGAAACTCCCCCAAGGAGAATAACTCAAGAACCCTCAAGGTACTATCTGAGCTCACTTGAAAACCAAACCCTGCCAGCAGTACATAACAGCTCTGTCTCTCACGCAGACTCCAGTGAAACCAGGACCCAGGCCCGAACCAGATTCCAGTACACTCTGTGTTTGTGCTTAAATAAACTGTTAAACTTTTATCCTCGTGTCCGCCTTGTGGTGTTCTGCATAACTGGGTCTCCATTTGAGAACCCATCATGACAGGTTCCTTGTCTTTCATTAAAGGCTAAATAGGGCTTTTACTCCCTATAAAGCAATACAAAAATAAAACGTAAAGCTTGACTGCCAGAAATAACTGTCAGGCCATGCCTTATAAATTTTAGCACAGGTACATTGGCTTGGGTGCATTTAGATCAGTCGGTTTGCTTCTTCAGCCTCATTTTCATCTCAACATCTGTCGCTTTGGCTCCTATAGCAGATGCTCTGGTAAATTGATGCTTTTGCTCACGCAAGCTCCAACGCAAGAAGGTGTCATGGTGACAGTGTGCTGGAGAGTGGAGGGGATGAAGCCAATTTTCCTTCCTCAGGTGATCAACATTGCATACCCCAAACCAGCTGATGGATTATTGGTTTTGTTCAAGCAGTGCACTGGGTACAGAACAGAGGGAAGCGCCTTTGAGACTAATTGGGCAGCCAGCCAATAAAATATCATATCTGCATTAAAATGCTTTGGTCACGGTCCCAGCACAGCGATTGCTATTTCATGGAAGCATGTTTAAAGGTTGTGCAAGCTCTCCAAACTGGAATTGCACTACACCTTCTCCATTATTCATGGGTCATCTCTGTTTTACTCATTTACCAAGGTGGAGTGAGGGTGGGTGTTGCAGTCACTGCCACTGCCTGAACAACATGTGCTTAATGATGTCACAGGCTTGAGAGGACTTGTGGGAGTGGGGTGAGGAGTGTGATCAAAAGCTGCGCAGATGCATGCTAGAGGTGGCTGGTGGCAAGGGGAAGGGAGTGCAGTGACATTATAACATATCTAGTTGCAGGTTTGACTGCTGCTGCAGTAAGTTTATCTCCGTAACAGCATCATTACATCTGTCATATCAATGAATCGTGCCGACCACAGGAGAAAAAAAAAACACATCTACAGAGCTGTAAAAGCCACGAAAATGGCTAATCTCATTTGGTGAATTGTTCAGTTTAGTATGCAGCTTTCTCTATAATGTGGCAGGTTTTTGATCGGTATGTTTTGCTATGCGTCTGTAAGTCTGAGTCTGAGCTATAAAGATCATTACCTTCGGTCGTTAGGCACAAAACAGGCCAGTTCAAAGAGGCGTAATTGAAACAATCACCATTTAATCTGCATTTTTTAATTAAATACATTTGTCTTGCTAAGACTAATGGCTTAGATTTGCTCAACTTTAAGTCTGGGTTAACATGACCAAGGATGGAGAGGTAAAAGGTGAAATACTTTAACAATACATGTATACCACAATATGGACACATCCACATGCATTTGTTATTAGGTATTTGTTCCTACTTGCATATACTCCAGCATAAGCAGGTGAAGTTTCTTTTCATCTGATTTTCATGCTGATTTCTGCTTGATTCAGACTGCTTTTGTTTAATGTGAAACACTCAGCAGGACCATCCCTTTCACTTTTGACTACATCTGAGTTACAGTGCATCTACTTGTTGAAAACACCGTGCCTCACACTTCCTGTCTGCATCCCTTCCTCATATTATTCCCTCCATCATTCTTCTTTTGTCACAAACTGTCGAACATATGTTGAAGGAGTGATCTCCCCTCTGTGTACTGGTGTATGGGTTTCTTTTTAGCATGCAGCCCGTCCATTCTCTCTTCTATTGCGGCAATTAGACCTGCTTCATTTCAGCCAGCGGCGTCACGCTGGTAGTGGACACTCTTTAATCATGTGTGAGTGTCTGTCAACAGAGAGCAAAGGAAGAAAGTGAAAAACAAAAGCTGAACAGGTCTGGTGGGGCCGTGCTTTGGGAGGAGTGAGAGCGCCTCATGTCTCTCACAGCACAGGGGGGTTGAAATGGTTGTGTTCCAGTCAAGCTTTTTACATTAGCATATGTTTACGCATGACGGCCATTACTGAACATTTTTAGAGTGACTACAACATTTAACAGTAAGAGGCTTAAACACCCTGAAGATTACAAAAGTCTGATTTTATTTACAACTGGTTCAATCAGTTAAAAATTCTCTTTTTCTGTTTGCATTTATCTTGATATGTTTCTCTATTATAATTCTGACAATTGTGTCTGATTTTGTGTGGGTTTAAAGGGGGTGAGGGCCTCTTAAAAAGTAATGTTTTATGCATGAGGGCCAAGGGTGGGGCCCGCTAGGGGTGTGTCAGAGGACACACACAAGAGCCAAATCAGTGAGCACCATGAGTACTTGGCAAAGATACACTATATGGCTCCTTTAGGCAGTATTTCTCTTTTGTTCGTAGATAGAAGCGTCTCAGTATATTTGGACATTACTGTATCGTAAAAAAAAAAAAAAAAAAAAAAAGGTGTCTTGTGTGACTTATGTCCTCTCAGGATCGTTTTATTTGAACAAACCTCTTTGCTTTTTATAGATCCATTATTGTTTTGCAGTGGTCTCCAACCCTGGTCCTCAAGATCTACTGTCCTACAGATTTTAGATGCATCCCTACTTCAACACAGCTGAATCAAATGATTGATTACCTTTTCAAGCTATTAATTTGATTCAGCTGTGTTGAAGCAGGGATGCATTTAAAATCTGTAGGACAGTAGATCTTGAGGACCAGGGTTGGAGACCACTGGTTTGAAGTGATATAAGTGAAACATTACTTATCAGATCAATGCCGACAATTAATTTTTTAATGGCAAGTGATTTACTAGTAGTAATAGAACACCAACAGGCCCGATGTGCATGAGGCTGGCTGACAATTAGCTTAATCATTGAAAGTTTGAGTGAGAGTTTGAAAATGATAAAAAATTGTTAAACCAGTGTGGTAAAGGTAGCCTGGTGCACAGTGTTTAATCATCTGTACAATAAAATACAAATTGCTATGGTGTTTCAGCTTTTTTGGGGTTTTTGTAACCTTTGCCATTTTGCGTTAGCCTTTCACTGGACAAAAGGGGCTGGTATCTGGGAAGATTCAATAAGATCACAGTATATGGATCTAGCAGGTATCCGGAAAATATCCGGACAGATGTGATCTTTCAAATAGCCTTTAGTATAGACATATATATTATCTATCTGGATCTGTGTGTTGTGAAATTATGTCATTTTTTATTTTTTATTAAAGCCTGAAAATGTTTTCTGTCATCAGACAGACTGAGAGAGAATTGTTTTAGATTTGAAATAGACAATACCTTGGACAAACATTGCATCAAGCAGAACTAAAAAAGAGACAATATAAAATATTAATAATTAATGTAGATTTTCTCTACAATGACTAGATAATGCAAACATTCTGCTTAAATATTTAGCATTTAAGCAGAGAGGTTTGCAAAGCGTTAGTTTCTATCATTTGTTTCTCAGTCTTATGTCTCTCCACTGTCTCCTCACCTTAGCCACTACAGGCATACAGACATCCTTAGTCTAATTCTGCTAAAGGTCTTTCCTTGTTTGAAACATGAGGAAGGCTTTTTTCCATCAACACAGTTTCTAAGCAATACACAAAAGGAAACTCTTGTGTTTTTCCTCTGTAATATAGCAAGGTCACGACCCTGCTATATAAAATGCCCAGATATGACTTATCTTATAATTTGGTGCTATATAAATGTATGGAATTAATTTTCATTAAAGCTCCTGACATCCACCCAGGGATCTAAGGTCAAGTCATGTTGGAGAATGCCGCTTCTCTCATTAAGCTGTGTGAAATAATTACAGCGTTAAACTTTGATATAGCGCTGGTGCCACTCTGCTTTATAGTGTTGGCTCTCTATGTGAACTATTTCTCACTAAGTTGTCTGCTTTTATCTGCTGACCTTTAAAATGCACTCTAGTTTTTCTGTAATTACATCTAAATTAAAATAACCCATCAACACTGAGATACTTTAATTAATGTCAATATCAATTATGAGAGTCAAAGTATCAACTATTGATATGTTAAGGTACAGAAAAAAACATTTGTTTTTAAGTACAGTAAACAAGCTGTTATCTGAAAGGCAAACAATATTTCAGACAGTAAATAAGAATGCTTATTGCCGTCTCTTCCTGAAGCTAATCAATTAATGTAGGCTACATTATGGAGCAAGAGGTTATGAAATAATCAGGGTTCTAGATGGTCACGTTGTAATAAAGTAACTAAGGGAAATAAGTCGTCCTTCGTCCAAGGTAATTAAGGCTGACATTTAAAAGAGGCCACTCCTGTTGAAGCACGTGGGAGAACGGAGTGAGAGGAGAGGGGCCTCTCTCTAATTGAGTTTGCTGCAGGCTACAACTTTGATTATGCTTTTCTTTTTCAGGGAGTAGATATGTGAAGTGCAACTGAATGAAGCTCTCAGTAGGGATATTGATAGTGGTTTTATTATATAGTAAATCTAAATTTGTGCTTTAAGGAGAGATCCCTGCCTGCAACAAGGTGTGTGGTAAATGTAAAGGCTATGCATTATGAAAGAAATTTCAAATTTGAGCTTGTTTTTTTAAAAACTAGGTCATTACTAGCAGATGATAAATATAGGTTGCTTTATCTATATTTGTTAAATACGTTTTTGTTTTATTGAAGTCGAATGATTCAGTAAAAGAAAGCTTTTACTAAATTAGTCTTATGGATTTTTGGTCTCTGCCTCTGCATCTTCATGTAATCTCATTGAGATTCTGTAATACTCAGATCAAGACTCTACGGGGACCATGCCATCTGTTGCAGGGCTCCATGTTCTCTGTAATTACAGGTGCTTCTAGCTCTGGAGCTTTTTTTATAACATTATGGCCTAAAGTCCCATTCTGTTTCTCGCTCTCTACAGCTATGGCAGACTTCCATGTCCAGCCAGAGTCGGTGCACGCTGAGGAGTCTGGTGTGGCTCGATTCCAGTGTCAGATCCATGGTCTGCCAGAGCCGGTCATTAGCTGGGAAAAAGACAGCCGCCCGGTGGACACTACAGATGAGAGGTTGGGTTGAGCATGGCCTGAGGCTTTCTATAAAACAGTGGGACATTTCATCAATGTGCCTGACATTCTTTTTTACTTTCTCTCTTTTTAAGGTATACACTGCTGCCAACAGGTGTCCTGCAGATTACAGGGGTCCGTGAGGAGGACAGTGGGAAGTTCTGCTGTGTGGCACACAACAGTGCAGGAGTAAAACACAGTGCAGAGGCTCTGCTAACAGTTTCAGGTACTCATCAATTACAGATTTGTATCCCACCAACAATGTTTCCTTCCCACTCTATATAAACCCTCCATGAAACAATATATCCTGTTAAACCACTTATCATATGCTCAGGCGCTAATTCCCCACTAAAGTCCTTGTAATGGTCTCCATGGAGATTGATGCCAGCATTTACCAAATGTATTCACCATCTTAGGAGATACGACCTTTTGTCACATTAGATATAAAAATGTCTCTGTGTTGTAATAACCAAACCAATGCTTATCTGAAATGAAATAGAAGATAAAGGATTTATATATATTTTTATTACTAAATGCATTTGTATCGGTTTGCATTTAGGCTCCTTTAGCAGGAAAGCCATTATTAAAACAAACCGCCTTTAGAAATCCTCAAGAGGAAATATTTCACAGAGCCCACTCCATCATCACCTGGCACAGTTAAGAGAACGACAAGTGTAAAATATGCAAGACATGGTCGTCCGTATTGACTGACAGGCAACAAAACAAATAACAAAAGAAGTCACCAAGAATCCCAAAGCAACTGTGCCACAATTCACAAACCAATTGGGAAGAAATTGTTTGACTATACATAGGACGCCATTATTATCATTTTTAATCTTCATTTCGAGCATTTCATCACACACACAAGAATAAGCGTGGTCACACCAGGAAAAGTATGCCATTTTTTTCAGAACTGATCAGGATTGCCACATATGTACAATTAACATTTCGCATGACTTGGGGTGATTTGAAACATGTTGGTGGTGGCACCATCATGTCAGAGTCATTTTTCAACAGAACAAGACCTTTAAACATTGCTGATTTAGCTAAATCATATCCATGCATTAGAATTACCGATCCGTCAGCCCTAAATCCTGCTGATAATCTGTTGGAAGAATTATTAGCTAATGTTCAAAGAATAGCAAACTACTTCGGATGGTAAATCTGAAACTCTGGGGGTCAATTACCTACTTTACCTCCAGCAGATTGGCATTTATATTTGCTTTAAAACATTAAGCAAAAAATGCATCAGATGCATGACATAATTTGACAACCATGTATTTTTTCCTTGACTTAACAGTACTTTGTATCAATCAATCAAATAATGTTTAAAAAACTATTTTGGTTATAAAGTGAGAAAATGTGAAGGTGTTAAAGTAAGCTGAAAATGTTCAAGAAAGCAGAACAGATCGTACAAATAAATTAGAATGTTATTGAAAAGTTAATCTACTGCATAACTTAATTAAGTGAAGCATATTATAAAGATTAATTACACTAAACTAATTTCAAGCTTTTGTATCCTTTTAATTATGGTGATTTTCTGCTTATTGCTAATAGAAAACATGAAAATTAAGATTAGAAAATGTCATCAGACTAATTAAAAATACATTTTTGGTTCAGAAATATGGACATCAGGAAAATTATGTTTAATACCTGCTTAAAGAGTGTGATTTTCTAAAGGTACTTTGAATTTGATCCAGGCGCCTAATGAGAAGCATGTGCTTATTCATTAAACATGATATATGATAGCTGTGCATTCAGCTAATCCCCGAAGAAGCAATTAAAAATCACAAAGCTATATTATTTTCTTGCAGGCTCCCAGTCGTCTGTTTACAAGGAGCCGGTGATTTTGGTTGGCCCAGAGAATCTTACCCTCACTGTTCACCAGACTGCCATCCTGGAGTGTGTTGCTACAGGATACCCTCGCCCCATTGTGTCTTGGAGCAGATTAGGTGAGTTAAAAAAAAAAAAAAAATCAACAAAGCACAGAAAGGGCTACAGAAGTAATACATACAGCATATCTTTATTTTGAAGAATTATCTGCTAAGGTGAAGTACGTTTTCCTCAGCTGGAATGTGAGAGGCCGCGTCCTGGTGGATTTGTTTATTCCTTGTTGCCCACCGTGTGTAATGCAGATGTGTACACAGAATACATTTCAGAGAGTAAATCTTTTGTGTATACACAAGGCAATGAGACTCAACAATAAGCCTAAGGGCTAAACATTATGCTTGACTCTGTGCGGATAAATACGTGCTTCATCTCATGAAGTTGAACCTCTCTTCGAAGCACAGGCGAGCCTCTGAGTAATTGCCACGAGGTGCTGAGCCAGATACAATTAGTTTCTCCTCCATACATGTTTTTTTTTTTACCTTTACTATCACTCAGAGTCTGTCTGTCAATTTTCCGATGTCCTATCTGTTTTCTTTAACTATAACACAGTCTGTTTTCCTGTCCTAGATGCAAATTGCTGCCCCTCCCAAGCAGTCAGCCGTAATCAGATTGACAGTATTGCCTTACCTAACGCTGCCAGAATGAAATGCTAACACGATGGGATTTCTGTGTATTAGATTACAGCAGGGAGGCCTGGATAAACTGCATAATGAATCTGATAGTTTCACATCCGTCACTCCTTAATGTTAGAGTTAGTTTGTTGCTATTCATTGAACAGCGCCGCCGCCTGCTAGGTTGTGCTCTTTCTTTCCTGACACTAAATTAATTAGTGGCGGGTGGAGGGGAGGTGACTGAGAGGAGAAGGGGAAAAAGAAGGAATACATGCAGCTCAGAGCAAATAAAAACAAAAATGCGGTGAGCGGGGTGCAGAGTTCCCATGGATTGTTAGTTCTTTCTCTACTTAGATTATAAAAATCAAAGAGGAAGATAATTGGACACATAAAAATGTATAAAACTGTGATTTGTTTCACAAAGAGTAATTAGCCAAATACATCAACACAGATGAAACACTCTACTGTAACATTAGCACATTTTAAGGACATTTTACAAGCTTTATAAAACAAAGTTAACACTATTTGGAGCAGATAAGACTGTCCTGAAACTCTGAGAATGTATCAGTGATAAAAACAACAAACAGCCTGAATATTATTTGTGACGGAGTTTTGTAGAACATGGTTATACCTCTTTCACACTGGCAGAAAAAAACGTTTAAACCCGGGAACAGTCCATTGCATGGCAACACAGAGACAAACCATTCACAAACACACTCACACCTAAGGAGAATTTAGAAGAGCCGATTGAGCTAACAGTCATGTTTTTGGATTATGGGAGGAAGCCGGGGTACCCGGAGAGAACCCACGCATGCACAGGGAGAACATGCAAACTCCATGCAGAAAAACCACCAGCCAGGAATCGAAGCCGGATACTTCTTGGTGCAAGGCAGCAGTGCTAACCACTTTTGCACTGAGCAGCCCCATCAGCACACATCCACAACAAAACAAAATAAAACTTAATTCTTAATAAATAAGAATAAGTTGATTGGGTTTGTTTTCCTTCAAAGCACAGGATCAATGTTTTGTATCATTTTTCTATCAATCTGAAGTTAGCAATCTTGTACTTAAAAATAAATGAGATCTGTATCAAACCAAGCATTTAAGTCATGTTATTTCATGTAGCACACATTTTAACACATTGAATGAAAGCTACAGATAGAAGACATGGAAGAGATTAGAACACCACCTTAGCACCATAGCTAATATCAGAGGCAAACCAAACTCATCGTTGGATCTGACACTGCAGATAGGGATCAGAAGAAACAAGTGAGTTTATCATATGATTGCAGTAAACAGAGGAAGCCACGGATAATGTGAGAGAATAGAAGATAATAAGTGTAGTTTTTGTATCCAAAGTTAAAAAGCAAAAGCTTTTCAGTATAAAATTGTACCTATGAATTAAATAAAAAATTTCTTACGGTTTACTGAAGAAAATATAAGCCTTATTGCTGTAAAAAAAAAAAAAAAAATCACAGTATTACAGATATCAATGAAAAGCAGTTCATAACTGGAAGCCGCTGCTGTTAAACACAAATAAAAACTCAGTGACCTTCCTCCTTGCATCTGTTGTATCAGCGGCAGCATTATAATTCTACACCTCACTCACTGTAAAAGCTGCATCCTTGAGGGACAGAAATAGCACTCTCTCTGTCAGCTGGTGGTTGTATTTGTTTATGATGTTTTGTCTTTTTTTCCAATGCTAAATAAACCTTTTTTAATCCTTAGTGCCACACACACACACGTTAATCCTTTACAGTTTATAATTGTATGGTCAAATTACCTCACCGTATATTTACTTCCAATCTTTGTGAAATGCTCTCGTTAATCTTCCATCTCTGATCAGACGGCCGGCCCATTGGAGTGGAGGGAATTCAGGTGCTCGGCACAGGAAACCTGATGATCTCAGATGTTGGCGTGCAGCACTCTGGTGTCTACGTTTGTGCTGCTAACAAACCAGGAACACGCGTTCGCAGGACAGCTCAAGGACGGCTAGTAGTCCAAGGTGAGTTCTGGATAAAACGGTTTTTCCTTTTAGTAGCTCCTGATTTTTTAAATGTGAACGTATAGCTAAGGTCACACAAAACCATATCACTCAGATTCAGGCTGCATGATTACTATAGCATTACCAGAGCCTTTTATGCCTTAAGCCGAAGTAGTGTCTCAACCATGATAAATATGATCTCTGTGCGACAAGTGTGCTTCATGTAGGTGTTCTTTAATCTAAATTTCTGAGCTAGTGGGTGGTTCCAATCTCTCAAACGTACCTTTTTTTTTTTTTGCATATCTCTACCGTAAAGGAAAATGCAGTCCTGTCTTACTCTTTTAAATACATTTACTACCAGACTATAGGCAGAAGTAAATATTAGATTTTTGTGTTCCAGGTTGTTTAAGATGCATGTCTGTATACAGTACCTCTAACAGAAGAGCAAAAAAAACATACTTACATGTTATTTTTTATAGCCAACCCAAATCATTAGCCTCATAAGCATAGCACTGTACAATATAAAATAGATTCAAAGAGGGCAAATTACTCAAAAGGTTAGGATGCAAATCTTTAGTGATGGCCAAGCTGAAATGATAAACTTTATGGGTAATTATTGAGCATTACCCATCAATCCATTAACATTAGCTAACAAAAGATTAGTAGGTAATCATATCTGCAGGATGACATGAACAAGTCACTTTTCTAAATCACTCTGTAAGACTGTATGTAATCACTCAAACACAGAATGGAGATAAGAGCAGCTTTTAATAGTTTTAGCCATTAAACAGGAGCATTCTATCAAATACAGAGTGTTGCATTTATGGAGTTATGTTTGATTCCATCTGTTATGGAAAATAGCTTTTTTCACATAGTGAGAGCAAAAAGCCTCCGAGTGATGAATCCACCTGACAGTGGATGGCTGGTAAAATAGAAGTTTTATACTGAGAAATATTGATTCTATGAACATAGAAAGAAGAAAAGTACAACACTTTTAAATTATTTGAAGGAGAAAAAAAAACATTAATAGCATTCCTTGTGTCATTATACTAGTAACTAAAAAAGATACAATTCTTCTTTTATAACCCTTTGTATCCATAGCTTTAAATGACTTATTTTTGTTTTTCCTACTAAAGTTCTCATAGGATATTCCCTCACTTTATAAAGTAAATATGAGCCGTGTATGAAACCAAATGATCCATGATATAGTAGATCTTATTTCTAATGAAGATTTGCTTATTATGTTTTTCAATGAAGAAAAATTATTGTTCCTTATTGAAAACATATAATGCCTGCAATTAAAAATCTTTATATTCAAAATTTTTGGGAAAGAATTACCTTGACTAAATAATGTGAGTTCAATAAATAAATAAATAACTGCATTTGGTTTAATATATTTGTGTAAGTGTCTTATCATAAAATCTGTGTGAATTTACTCTATCAGGGTTTTTTGTGGTATGCTGCAGTGGTTATCAGAGAAATTAAGTGCTGTATTACTTCCCACATCAATGTGAAAACAAATGGCAGTATTTTAACCCTTTGAGCCCGGCGGCCCATCTTACACCTGCTCATGTTGATCTATTTATAGAAATGGCCAGAACACAGTCATGTGGTGTTTCATCCACATGTCTTTCAAAATGGGCCTTAAAAATGTCTAAAACATGTTTCATCATTGAAAACTAGATACTCAAACCTTTGCAAAGAGGGGTGGTGGAGAGGTGATTGTGCGACCATTTTAGGTGATATAACCGGCATGCGTTACATAGGCTTACTCTGTTATTCTTATTTTCTATTCAGTTTGGTGATATTATTGGTAGATTTCAATGTAACGACTGCTAAATCTTAGGAGCAAAGTCTCCAATAATGTAAATCAGCATATTAGTCTGGCCAGATTCCCTTTTATGAGCGGAAGAATGCATTCGGCACGATTTGGCCACTTTTGGCAACACTGTGCCAAAATTACATTTTCCTCCTAGCACACTGCTCACTTAAACCTTTGTGGAACAAACATGCTTCAACTTCTTCAGTCCGAATTTGCTTGAGTTATAGTCAAGATGTGGATCTATAAAGTTGAGGGTTCAAATGGGGTTTCATGGTGTTTTGCAATGTTTATTTTGGAAAAAAAAATTGGCAAGGCTAAATATTTTTCTTTGTTTAATCATCTTTAAATCAGACATGGTGACATTTAAAATAGTGGTTCCACCTGAAAAATACTCCTCAATGCCTTTCTGTCATACAAATACAAACAGTTGTATTTCCAATTTATAGTTTGGGAGCTGTACTAGCTTTAATTCAAATATGTAATTTCAGGCTGAATTTGCTTCTAAGATCCTTTGGGCTTAAGGGAAAAAGCATTTAAAGACATTAAAGCTGAATTCTCCCACAAACGGTTACATCTGTTGTTTTCTTATCCCTCAGTCCTAATCACTGTTCATGATAAGAACTAAATGGGTCCTTGTCCACAGCCTTGATACCAGTTTGAAATCATATTTCTGACTGTAAATAAGGGAAACTTAAAGTAAGAAGCTATTTATGGTTCCCATTTCCTTTTACATACTTCAACTTTAAATGAATGACATGTTGAAAATGTTCCAGTTTCATTGTATTTATTTAATCGGGACCATTAGGCCTGCAAAGAAATGTGTAATTATTATGACGCTTTCATGCCTTTTAAAAATAAGGTTGCTTTATTTCATCCGTATTTGCAAATGTACCCTTTTCATTTTGAATCATCTGCTGTCTTCTATATGGTTATGTTATTGTAGGCATTTTTTTTCTCTTTTTATGTTTTTTTTTCCACACCCAGGGCAGCCTTCTCATTGCATTTCACTTAGAGCAGATACAGCAAAGACCTTTGTTTGTTCAATCGCGTTTAAGCTTACAGCAAGGTCATCTTTAACAGACATTGTGTTTATGTGCTGTAAAGGGAACTGTATGCATGTCTGAGTGTACTTTTATTCTTTCATAAAATAAACATTAAACATTTGAAAACTCAAATTAATAGTTAGCCTTCATCCCTTTGGATTTGCCTCGTTATGTACCACAAAAAATGGTCATGATCGTTTGCTGTTTGTTTGTTTTCGCAGTAATAAGTACTGTTCTTTGAAGGTGTTTGATGAAAGCTAAGAAAGATCAATGTTTTTAACATTTCTTACATGTAATGGAGCCAGGTGTAGGTGGCTGTGTGCATTAATTGTTAACAATAAAGAACCAGCCAGCCTCTGCTTTGCTCATGCATTGATCAAATGAACCCCACTTTGCTTCAGCCCATCATGGTATTGATCCTGATCGATATTTCATTTCATCAAGCTGTCAACTCTAAGGCACGCTCCTACCTAGCTGGGGACTGCATCTGAAAACTATAGATGTTGATTATCTGTCAGTTCTTTTAGTTCTTGTCAATGATTTGTGAAAACAAAGGTGTCCTGTTAACTTCAGACAAATATGTGTCTTAGTCCTAGTTTAATATGAGGAAACAATATTGCACGTCTTTGAGGAATTGCAGCATTTGTTTGTGGAAATAAGGCAGCTGTCACATCTGTGGAAAGAACGTTTCCTATTCTCTTGTATTTCCTATACCTATTTAAAACACAAGTTCAGCAGTCTAAAACATGAAACTCTAGATGATTGCAGGGCTTTAGCATATCAGCTTATACACTTCCTCAGAAGTCATGTCACGATAGACTTAGGCTCATTTTTTATATAAAGAGAAACTGAAAGAGGAGACAAACTGTTAGGGCCGGCAGTGAAAAGAAAGAGCAAGATGGATGACTGGTGCAGATGATCTGACCCACACCTTTAGAGGTGCAAATCAATATCATTCTGCGCTCCTGCTGATCTCTGCCTTTGAGTAGTCAGCTTACAAAAAAACAAAAAACTTCAAGTGAAAAAAATGCCTATAAGGCTTGAAAGCAGAGAGACAAATGAAAGAAACATCTCATGCTGCAAGCTTCCTCCTTAATTCAACTGCCTAGAGGCACCTTCGCTTTTTCATTGGAGGAGACGGAAAAGCATCAGATAATATTTGGTGTAGGAGGGAGGGAACAATAATAAAGGTTGAACAACTGGGAGGAAAAACAAACAGGAATCGAAAACAATCTGAACAAAGAACAGAATACTGGCAAAACAACAACAATAATACCAACTATATTTGTTGTTTTGTTCTTATTCTCTACTTTTGATATTGACAATATATCACTTGAAAATACCAAAGTGTTCGTATAATCAACCTTGTAAAGACAGTTTTTGTGCAATTAACTGCTGGAGTAAATGATGCCCCTGGCTCACTTCTTTATTGCAAAGGGTTATTGAAAGTGATATTTCTTCATATCTCCAAGATGGTTGCCTCAGTTGTTCTTAAGACAAACCAACATCTCATTTCATCATCACATACTCACTAAAATACTAAATATGTTCATCTTGGATTTTTGCTTAGTGTTAACTATGTGGCTATAAAGAAGTGTAATTTTAACTTCAGCTACAGTAGTTCAAACATATGTTTATTTTATATTTGCATATAGGTACTATATATACTCAGGCTTAGCTTTTGATATACATCCAAAGGTCCTGTTATGTAAGATAAATTTAGTTATTTTTAACCGTTACATTTTCTTTTAAAATGTTGTAAAAGAGAATAAGTATGTTGACTGAATTCCTGCCAGCCCAAAACTATATGAGGGTATTATTAAAAGATAAATTACTTCATGGTAAACTGTAAGTTGGCTGTAAGGTTAGGTTGCATCTTTTTAAATTTTCTACGGCATCAGTGCCATTTATTTACAAATTAGAGGACACGCAAGTGGCCAGAGAGAAAAAAGGGAATAACATGCAGTTGCTGTAGGCATGGATTCAAATCCAGGACAGTTGCACTGAAAGCAACTAGTCTTAGACTTATACAAACCTTTTCGTCATTTTGTATGTACAGAGTGTATAGCAGCAGCGCTGGGATGAAATGTCTTTAATGAAGGGAAGAGGAGCACCGATGATCCTCTCTGCTGTTCTCACTAGTCTCCTCACGTACTTCCAATCTGAGGCGCTGCAGCCTCCACACCACCCAATAAGACAGCTGGTCGGGCTCTCTATGGTGCTTCTGTAGAAGGTGGTGAGGATGGGTGGGGGCAGCTAGTATCTGTACATCAGGCACCTAACCCATGGTTATTTAAGTGATGAGGAATACTTAAAGAGATCACTTAAGTGTAAAATAAAATAATCTTTTGTGCAGGTGTCTTTGATCATCCCATGCATGACTATTGTATAAAGCAGTAGTTGCTGATCTATGTTGGTTGTTACTATGCTGAGTGAATGACAGTAAGCATAAGATGCAATGTCATTATTAAAATCACACCCAGAAGAATCTCACAAAGGACTACCCATATCTGAAAAACCAAAACAGGCTTTCTATAAGACAATTTTCCTTTGCATAGTGAGATGTATAGTAATTCATATGCGGTCAGTTTTACTTCTACATGTAAGCGTACAGTTTGTGGGCTGTGGGAAAAACGTATTTTTGGTGTGTATTAATATTACTGACCTTTTTTTTTTGCAGTCATTCACCCACACTAGGTGTATTTTGCTCTCCTTAGTTTATTCTATGTTCTGTAAAATATATTTTAGTGTAACCTTGTATTCTTATGAGCATTCTTCTAATATTTTCCAATAATGTTGAGGCCAAAAGTAGCCACAGGCAATTATCCAAAGGGAGCAAAATCACATACAAAAAAAACAAAAAACAAAAGAAATATGTAAGATATTTTGGAGATATTGCAAGCTAACACTATTTAAAAGTCTGCTTAAAATCACAAAAATAAGAAGCAGCACTTTTTATTTCATTACCCTGTCAACAGTGGAGTATAAAGCTTATAAATATCTGTTTACCAATGACGTGTTTTTGTTACACTTGGATAAGATAACGGACTGGGCACTGAATACAGGCGAGGGTATAAAAACTACATAAACATAAAAATTTGATTAAGCAAAGTAATATAAATGTAAGACATAATTAGCTGAAAAACATATACACATAACTATAAATTATAAATGTGAACAAAATTTGCAATTATTTAAGGCAAAGGATTGTTGTTGTGAATTAGGTTTATGTTGTCTTATATCTGTCTTCCACCCTTCTTTCTTCCCTACTCACACGCCTTTTCTTTTTACCTATTAGAGCATTGATCCTGTGTCTTTCATTGTTTAGGTAATTGAGCTTTGCCTTAATTATAGATTTAAACCCAGTATTTACACCTCAGTCCTATACCTTAGGAACTTATGCCTTTCTCACTCCTATTTGCTCTTTTATTCCTACCTTGACATCTCAGGATCAATATTAAATCAATATTTTACATATCTGACAATCCCCCCATCTTACCAATGTCTGGGGTTTAACCAGTAATGTAGCTTGATTAGATTTTCGATGTCTTTCTTCTTTCAGCTCCAGCAGAGTTTGTGCAGCCTCCACAGTCCATCTCTCGACCAGTCGGCACCACGGCCCTCTTTACATGTCAGGCACAGGGTGAGCCTGAGCCTCAGCTCACCTGGTTGAAGAACGGGCAGGTTCTGGAGCCAGGGGGACATGTCAAATTCAGGAACAACAACAGGTAAAACTAAATATTATACAGTTGTTATATGATGGCAAACCTTTCCTTGCTTAGTTTATGAGTACGGTGTAGATAAAATGTTGCTAGAATTAATTAAAATGTCAACAGCAAGTCTCGACTTTAAATTATCTGCTTACCTGATGACATGGAATATATCAGTGTTTTATTCTATGTAATACCGGTAAGTAAGCATAAGTTGTTTTCTAAAAGAACTTACTGGAAATCTGATTAAAATAAAGTTTCTTATAAAAGCCTCTAAACCTTTTAATGCCACTTGCCAGTGGTAATGTCAGCTTAATGGTCCTCAAGGTTTATGCCTAAATGACACGTTTTTCATCATCACAGTGTGTATTCAAGGCTCCCTCTGGATGCTTCCGCATTCACAGAGCACTAAATATGCAGGGTCTGAAAAACTAGAGTTCTGCGCTTCATACATTTACTCTTTTTCAAAACCCACTTTACACTATTCATGGCCACCTGAGGGCTGGAGCCTCTTCCATTTATCCCTGGAATACATAGTAATCTAATTTTTTTGTATAAATTTAAACCACTGTATTAAAGGTATGGTGGAGGATGTTCTTTTTCCGGTTGGTTCATCAAAATAAGTGGTTCTGCTAATAATTAGTCATTCTTGTGTTATGTTTATATAAGGCAGTCCTATGTGCATTTTCACTTACCAGTGGTGAGTCTGACAGCGGAAAATTTGCAAATCTTCTTTTGGAAAGTAAGCTTGTATAAGCGAACAACAACTTTTAAACAGAGCATGCACGAGGAGAAATGGGCTCATGCACGCTCTCACACGCATTTAGTAGATGTTCCCTCTTTGGTGTGGGTACAGTGTTGTGCATGTGGTCTTTGAAAAAATTGGCTAAAATCCTCCTCTATATCTTGACATTTTCTTCTTTTAGTTGAAAACTAAAATTTTATGACTATTGCTAAAATGCTAAATTGACCTTTTTGTTCTGTGAAAAATAATTGTCTCCAGTCCACCACCCCCCAAAACCACTAAGAATATTAAAAATCAGCTATTTGTTACTTCACAATAAAATAATTGATGTTCTGCTCCTTTTATATACATGGTTAAAATCTTTATCCATCTGTTTTGTTGCCATCCTTTCGCTATCATCCTGAGTGACAATTTGAAATTAAAATCTAAACTATGATAGGGCAAAATAGTTTAATTTTGAAATAAATCTATTAAATGAGACATGCAGAAGGAAAGTACACTCACACTCTGCTGAAGTGAGTGAAAGCAGCAGGCATATCCATTGCTCACCTACATTTTTGCGTTCCAACTTGGTGTCTCCACTCTCTATTAACAAGACAAATGGAATGAGAGAATGTTAAAGGCAGAAAGAGGACAGGAAAGAAATAGATGAGAAAAGCCTGACTGAGATGTTGAATTGAAAGGCAAGTAATAAATGAGTGCCTTGCAGAGAAACGATGAGGCTGCATGAACAATAAATAGGTGAAAAGCGAGAGACTTGAAAGATGGAATCAGTAGTTGGAGCATCACTTTTTTTTCTCTTCCTTATGTTACAGATGACCTGGTATAATATGAATCGCATGCACCACAACTGCCCTCTGTGATCGGTTACAGAGGCAGACCTTAGCTTGAGTTCCCCCATTAGCTAATGAGCTCATAAACTCAGCTGGTTGGCCAAGACATGCAATCAGCTGGGTAGAGAACAGAGCAGCTTCAAGAGCATCTTAAGACTGTGTCATTGAATGGCACAGCAGGAGGAAAGAACATGAAATAATGTCAGTCCTTTTCACAGTCCAGTGTGGTAAGCTATTTAGAATCAGTTTTACATGGCTTTGATAATCTACATTTTGTATTAAACCTTTTAATGATGGTATATATGAGGATAATTAATTTTTTACCTAGCTAGGGATAAAGGTAAAATTAATTTAAAAAAAGATTTTCCTCTAAAGAACTATAATGGCAAAATGTTTGCAAAGCCTTCTCTGCAGAAAACTTTACAGATAAATCAAATAAGATCAGAAATGTCCATGCTAATAATAGCATCCAAAAAAATTCATAATATAATTTCTACAAATAACTTATTTCCAAACGTCCAAACCTAGTCACACTAGATGGTTGAATTATGTTCTGACTAATCTAGCAAACTGCAACTCGAGCAAAGTTTCATAGAAACTCACTCTGTTGCTGGAGAAAGCATCTTTTTGAGAGTTTTGTTTCCTCACTGCACAAGGAAAGCAGGAGTGAAGAGAAAGAGGCATGCTTGATGCTGATTGGCTGAGGTGTAAGGTGGGTTGGTGTTCACCATGCACTACAGGCACAGTGAGACGCATGGTGCAAAAAAAATCCAAAGTTAGCAGTGCTATAATTCATGTTACAATTTTTCCATTTATTAATTATGAATCATTTTAGATTTAATACTTAAACTAAAAGGGAGGGCATGGTGGTAAGGTGGTACGCACCTTTGCCTCACAGCAAGAGGGTTCTGGGTTCAGGTTCCGAGGGAAACAGGACCTTTCTGTATGGAGTTTGGATGTTAGTCCCTGTCTGCATTGAGGTTCTCTGAGTTCCTCCCACTGTCCAGAAACCGGCATGTTAGGTTGATTAGACATTCCAAATTTACCTTAGTAGTGAGTGTGCGTGGTTGTTCATCTTTGCATGTCTCTGTGTGGCCCTGCGGTGGACTGGTGGACCATCCAGGGTGTACTCCCCCTCTCTCCCATTGACTACTAGGATAGGCTTCAGTCCCCCCCACGAACCTATTAGGGAATAAACGGTTCCGATAATGAATGGATGGATGGACTTAACTAACATTTTTTAAAAAGTTTTAATAACAGGAATGTCTTGTGAATTGATTTACTTTTAAATCATGAAAAGCGACTGCATAGTTACTTAGTAATTAGTTACTTTGACATTCCATTACGTCCTGGAATAATTTACTTCTTACTCTTAAGTGCTTTCTTTTTTTAAGGGGTTGATCTGATAATAATATGTTAATAAATTACTCCTCATTCAGATTCGTAATCCATACACTGAAACAACAGAAAGGATGATGCAGGGTTAAGCCCCAGTGACAGTAAAGGAGAGCTGACTTTGTGCTCTTGTTGAATTTGTCGCACCTCAAAAGACCCTGTCACATGAAGTGGCTCACAGTCCCCAACACAAACAGACGTGCTGCTGTGTAAGGCCTTAATTATCCGCCCTGAATGACCAGGTTCCTGTGAAACATGTTTTTCAAAGCCTTTGTTAAAGCTGTTGCTAATTATGTATTTTAGGGCTCACCTGAACTTTATGTCTCCTAAGTAGCAATGCTTGATCAGCCAATCTATACATCCTGTGATTTCTCAACCTAAAAACATAACAACGTGAAAGCCTGCTGGTATTGTTTTAAAGTGATGCTGCTGCTGACAATGGGAAATATTCCATGTGTAATGTTTTAAGTGAGTACATGAGTGACTTTAAATATTGTTCAACATCCGGCTTTCACACTGATCTGGGAGTTTTATCATTTAAATTGTAAATTTTCCCTTCTTTTATGTATGTTCTTGTTTTTTGGTTAGTGTTCTCCCTCTATTCACCCTTGTATCCCTTCCTGCCCCCCAATAAGAAGAACTGTGGCCTAAGCATTGGCCTTGACCTTTGGCCTGCCTGTAATCAGTCATATCCTTGGGCCCTTCCTTCCTTTCAGGCCACAGACAGCTCATTTCTCCCTCCCTACCCCCTCTACCAGCAACTCTTCCTCCTGTTTTCTCTTTGTCCCCATATTTTTCCCCTTTTCACTGGTGCTGAATCCAGAACGTCCCTGCTCCCTTTTGATGGGGCGCCGCTCTGAAACAACAGAGGGTAAACATAGACTAAGCAGCTGAACAACAGACCCCGAAACCCCACTATCAGCTACCCTTCTGCCCTGACCCACTGCCTCATCCGTCAATCTGTGAAGTGACCTCAAACTGATGAGTAAATGATGGTGTCAGCTTGTCAGGACGGAGCAGCTTGGTTTACGGAGTTTACGACAAGCAAGCAGCCTGAATTCCAGCCGAACACCTCCCATATTCTTTCTTCTCTGTCACTCAGACGTTTCTTTTGTCCTTCGCACATTGTGTACATTCAGAGTCTGATGTTGCATATCAATGTGAGCCGTGTGATTGGAATAATCATTTGAATTGCAAAACTGACCCCACTGAGTTGTGTCTCAAGAGAATAAAACGTAAAACACAGATGTGTTGTTGGTATGAGAGCAAAATTATGGAATGAACTTAATAATTAAATTTAAAAAAGCATTGAGAGGAATTTTAATGAAAGCTTTCATTTTTGTTTAGGCGAGTCATAAATTAACATATGGGTTCTAGGCTGTTATTTTTTTGGGAAAATGACTTTTCCAATCTAAGGTTAGATTATTTTAAAATGACAAAATGTTTATTTTTTCATTTTTTATATTCACCTCTTCACCATCGTTGATCGTGCCATTTGATTAAACAGACACCTCGCTTCATGCATTAAATATGAACATTTGTCATTTATTTTCTCTGAAATGATGCTTCATCAATTCAGATATTATGAATCCCATAACAGAAATACAAGGAGACATTCCCTGGATTTTAAATTTCACCAGGGTTAGTAAATATCACTGGCAAGCATTGAAGTTAACAACCTTTAAGAACTTGAAAGCCAGAAATTAATAAAAATACATTAATATTAGCTTCTGTTGATAGGAGAAATTTTCACCAAAAACAAAAACAATTTGCCGCTTCCACTTGCTTTCTGACCTACAGCCGTTCAAGCACTCTTATATGTTCCTGTTCTATGTTATGCATGTTCACTTCATTTTAAACCTTATCCTAAAAGTTTTTAAGGCCATGTGTGAAATTTTGCAAGGTGAACATCAGCAGGATATGACCACACATCTGTGACTTGTCACAATGCTTTGAATGTTACTGTACCTTGTCAAATGAAAAGAAAATGTTCTCCCCTTTCTCTACACCCACTCAGGGGGCCCATCAAACCCTGGTGGCACCGGTAGTGATTTCAGTGGGGCCTCCTTAGTTTTCCTGCTCCTCTGGCATCTGTTCAGGCTGCTTGCCTTCAAACACCCCATCCATTGCAGATATAAAAGACTGTCACAAATGTGATGGTTGATTGGCAAGCTGAGGGCTAGTGTACAGCCACCTTCAGGGTCAGAGGTGAGATTGGTTCCACCTCTTTCAGCTGATAACTTTACAGATTGAATCCACCTGGCATCCTGGAGCTGAAAAATAACCGTTTGACCTATTCTTAAGCACATAACTGTGTCCGAGCTCACCCCTTTTGAAAAAGAAATAGAATGATGTAACTCTGCATTATTCTTATTGACCCAGAAACTGAACCACAAACGCTGTTTGAGTCCTGAGATAACACTTTTTTCCATCACATCTTGTCTTAAAATCCAGAAGATGATGAAATGTAACCCTTTAGGCTGCCTTGCTGTTTCTTCTTGGTTGAAGCTTTTGGCATTTTGATAAATTTTGTTTTTAACACATAAAGGATGTATCCTGTTCTTAAAAGAGAGTTGCTTGCCAGAATCTTACTAACAACAGGCAGCGGATACAGGAGATACTTTGTGAGGGTGTCACAAACTTCTGTTTAAACTTAAAGCAAAGCAGAAGTAAATTCAGCTTTTTAACTAAAAAGTATATCTCTGATATTTTTAAATTTCATATTCATGTCTTTTTTCTGGATTCGATTGGAATTCTGTATAACTAACTGCTTCTCATATCGTTGCTTGCTCATTGCAAGGCTGTTCTCTGCATAACACACAGTAAATAATGCAGAAACAACCTTGGCTTAAAATAGAGGAAAGACACATATGAAATCATAGGTCCTCACCTCTATAGAAAGGAAAACGTTTTCATATGAGGAATGGTTTGTGTCTTCCTTATACAAATAATTATTGTCTACATCTGGAACCTGTAACAGACAAACCTTTCATCTAAAAAAAAATTATAATAATATATATATATACATATATATATATATATATATATACATATATATATATATATATATATATATATATATATATATATATATATATATATATATATATATATATATATATATATATATATATATATATATATATATATATATATATATATGCAGTTTGCATGAGTGAGGACGGTCCATACATTCTGCTGCTGTCTGTCACGCAGGAATTTGTGTCACAAATCTTTTTGCCCTCACTCACCAGAGCACAGGGCTTTGTGGATTTGACAGAAGAAATTGTCCCATTTATATTTTATACTGTACCCTCCACGTCTCCTTAGAGATTATGCAAATATTCTAATTTCATTTGCATATATCTAGGTTTGGAAATTTATGAAATAGCTTAGTGATTCACGGTATTACAAGCCAGTTTTACTATTACAAACACTACAGTAGGTCAGATATATAAACAGATTCTTCTTCTTAAAAAGATAAGGCTGTTTGTATTGTTCTATTGCATTAAAAAGTTTATTTGTGGCAAAAATACATTTGGTTTCTCATAAATTGTTTCATCGTCTTAAAAAGCTTTTTATCAAAGTTTTGTTTTACACATAATTGGCTATAAGATGATAAGAGCTTGGAATAAAAATGAGTGGAATAGGAATGTTATGATAAAATAGATAAAAATGTGCCACTTTTTGCAGAGGAAATGCACCGTGGCAGATATTTAAAAATATACAATGAAAACAAAATCACTTTGATAGTATTCACTTGTGGTGACAAATTATCAGGTTTCAGTTTGATAAAAATACAAGCCTATACAACAACACAATATGACCACGCTGTCTGTATGTGTATGTGTGGATGTGTGCTCAATTTTTCAGTGTTGCATATATAAGGTCATAAGTCTTGAGTGTATGCGCAGCAACACTTAGTGATTCCACAAGGTTATGTGACATTCCTACTGGTGGCATTACTTCAACATGATAGATTGAAATGGTCCACAGCTCAGCGGTCCACATTCTGACTCACCTGGAACTGTGTCCTCATGTATCCCAGCATCATTTATTTATTATGGCTGCCATCTGACAGAAAACACAGCCTTTCTACTGTAGTAACACCAATATAGTTTGTTAGAAAATTATTGAATAAAAATCTCAGGGACAACATTCTACACCTGCAGGTTTTTTAATAGCTTACAGAGCTTTGCAAAAATATTTACACAGCATATGCATTTAATAAGAATCTAAGGTTATATTTGTAGCCAAATTAGTGCAAAATTGTTAAGTAGAATGGAAATGGTAAATTGCACTTTGGTCAGGAGACTTGACCATAGTGCTTTACACTACATTCGGTCATTCACCAGTTTCCTCACACATTGATGATGGCAAGTTACATTGTAGCCACAGCTGCCCTGGGGCTCACTGACAGAAGTGAGGCTGCCATAACAGGAGCCACTGGGCCCTCTGAGCACCATCAGAAAAATCGTAAAACAATGCAGTTCTATAATTTATTTGTGTTCTCTTGGTACTTTTAAAGGAAAAGTCCAGACAGCAAGGAATAACCAATGGGTCATTATTTATACCTAAAACTTATACGTTTGCGGTTATATAATGAATTTAGCATTAATTAGTAAAAAAAATAAAAACAAAATTTTTTGTTGCAATCACTGAGCGGCCATTTTACACAAATATAGTAACACCTCACTCCTCACATCTTCCAGCAGTGACGTCACGGTGCGGTAAGGCTAACGCCATTCTGCCCATTTTACAAGCAAAATCAGTGGGAACTACTAGAAACATCTACAATCAACAACAGTTATTTAAGATTTCAAGAAGACTACATCATTAAAATTCACCAGAGCTATAGTTAAACTGACAATGCCCACGTGCATGGCAGTTGGATGTTGTAATACATCGGGTAAAAGTGAAAAAAAAAAAATTTGTTATTTCACCTTTCCTTTGTGCTGGATGTTTCTGGTAAAGCACATTCAAATTAAATTACTCTTAATTAAAAACACTTATCATTTATTGAGAAGTATTTAATGATTTCATACTCAAAGTACTTAAATTTCCTTTAAATAAAAAAACAGTACAACTAATTGTCTTTAAGAAATACTGTAATTTGTACATATAATCCACTCCTTACTTAATATCTGTAAAAAGAAAAGAAAAAAACTCTTCTGTGAAGTACTTAAAATGTTTTAAGCAAAGATTATTGAACACAACGAACAGGTCAAAGGTAAAGTTTTGTGGATTTTTAAAGCAGGACCAGGTTAAAAAGGGAATACTACCCTGTGACCATCTCAAAAAGGATTCTTCTGCTATGGCCTAAGAATTTTGTAACCAAAGCCATGATATAAATTCACCAAGAAATCACCTGCAAATCTTGAAAACTGCTGGAAAAACAAGATGAATAGCCAAGAAAATGTCAAAAAGATTTAACTTATTGCCCATTTATTTATATAATTTATATTAAATTTATTTTAAAAGATTAAAACACCGTACATCCTTTTACCATTCACATCAGTTATTTTTGTATTTTGGTGCATCAGTTTGTTTTTGTAATATGACAAAATTTGAAAAGGTTCAATGGGTGTGAATAATTCTGTTATCTAATCAAACAAGTTGATACGCAATGTTAATGTAATGCTTCAAATTTTCTGAAGTAAGAACTGGACTCCTCAAACTATTTATAAATATCCAAGCTTCTCCCCTCTCTCTTCCTTCTGCAGCACTCTGACTATATACAGCATCAGTCAGGAGGATGAGGCCATCTACCAGTGCATCGCTGAGAACAGTGCCGGCTCTACTCAGGCCAGTGCCCATCTCACTGTGCTCTGGGCTGATGGACTGCCCGGTGTGCCCACCCATGTGCAGGCTGAGGCGCTCTCTCCCACCTCCATTCAGGTGTCCTGGAAGGAGCCTGACCAGAACACTCAAGACATCATTGGATATGTGCTACACATTCGCAAGACATCAGGTAAGCCCTAAGAATTGTCATAAGATAAATGCTAGGAAATAGGGTAAACAGAATATTTTATATGCCAATTAAAGTTTTTATAAAATGTAATATTTTATGTAGTTTTCATTTAATATACTTGCACAACATTTTGATTTTGAAGATTTAGAGATAATTAAATGTTTTCATTTTGAAAAATCTGATATTTATTGTTGAGCATATAAAAAAATTATCAAATATAAAAAATAAAAAAAACTCAATCCTCTAACAAGGCTCAAACTAGTGAAATCCAGTTTTTTTGTCTTTTTAACTTAACTACTAGAAATGTTTTTGTGGGCTCTTTTATGACAGACAGGTTCTGTTTACAATAAGAAAAGCCATGATTTATTGTGTGATCTGATTAAAAATTTAGAGCTTTAAGTAGTTTTGAATATATTCAGGAAACACTGGTATCCAATCCAACTGTGTTCTGACACACATGTGGCAGCATCTGTTCAACACAGCATATGTAATTGCATTTTGGGCTACGGCAGAGGAGAGGATCTGCAGGGATCTCCTATTTATGTGCATCTTGATTGAATACATTTTATGTAAAAGTGAGTTTTAAATGCATCTCTTGCTATAAACTGCCTGACCTATTTTGTCTTTATTTTTGAATCAAAAGTGAGCTAAAAGACTTTGAGTGCAGAGCCAATGCTGTGAGGTCATTCTTTTGGCTGCTGCTTCAGTCTTTCAAATGAGATTTTAATTCTGCTCAGAGCTCGACATGAAGCGTAGGAGGGCTCAAAACATGAGCTGTTGTACCCACACGCACAGAGCCATTTATTGTGTTAAGATAAACTTAGAGGTTGTCACTATACATATAATTTTTCATTTAGTGTTGAATAACCACACAAAAAAATACAAATCTTTTAGACTTTACGGCTGCATTTTGGTTCCCAAAAAGATTGATGACAAATAAACACAAACTTCTGGTGTTAAAATCCATTAACTTGTTTGATATATAGCGTGTGGTTCAAGCGATGAAATGCTCGTCAAAAACAACCATCACTATAACTCTAATAAATCTTAGGCACATTGGAAAAAGCCTTACGCAGTTTGTTCCCCCTTATTCATTGTGAGTTAAAGATCAAAGCAATGTATTGCAAAGGGATTTTGTAAAATGGAAGAATGCTATGAAGATATTTCTAGCATAAAATGATGCACACTAGTTATTGGACCATCATATCATGCATCAAATTCAGAACTCAGTCTGTTCACAGCTTTTGGATTAGTGTAGATGTGTGTGACCTCCCATTTCTACAGACTCCTTCATTCGTGAATGCTTTTTCGGTCAGAAATTCTAATCAATTTGCTAGTCCCTTTGGCTTCGTGGCAGTGCAGCATGATGGACAGCTGTAGAGCTGATATTAACCTCAGTGCTTCACTTGGATTGATGAATAGGAGCCCAGAGAAGGCCCACCTTTGGGATTTGCTCTAATTATCAGTAGATCGTTTGGCCTAATTGGTTAAGAGATGGGCGTAGATAGAAGTTATGGCTGGCTGGGTCTGAAAATGTTAGAAGATGTGGGTCTTGGAGATGGACCCAAATGCAGACAGGCAGTTAAAGGCAAAAAATGGCAAGTTAAAACTTGAATTTCTTTAAATATGTTAAAAATGCTCTCATACAAAACATGGGTTTAAAAAAAAAGGCTAACATGAACATTAAGATGGCTTGGCGAGGTAAACCAGAAGTAAAACGGCATGAAACCTAGGATTTACCTGTTAAAGGTAAAATCAAACTGACTAGTATATAAGTGGTGGCAGACAGGTGAAAGCAAAGGATGGTTAGCAGGTAAACTGAAGTGATAGAGAAAACAGGAAAGAATATGACTGAATGGGATCTTGTTAACTGCTCTGACAGGAAAAGAAAAAATAACAATTCCAACTGCATGTGTAAATTCTCATTCACCCGCGTCACGGCAGCTGATTGCTGCCAATTTAAGCCTGTTTTGAGGAAATAAACACATAAACTAAAAAGGGTGGAAGAAAACTACTTGTAACATAAACACTGAAAAAGGCAAAACCAAAATAGCAAAATATGCAGGAAACACAACATTCTTCAAGTAACGAAGTAAAACCTAAGGAAAAACACCAAACATAAACGATGATCTCAAAAACAATATTTTAAGACCAGGATAAAATAACAGAGAAAATTAAAACATAGAATAAAAAAAGATCTTAAAGAACATAAAATCTAGATAGAAAAGCAATGGAAATAGTTTCACTTGAATGACTACTGCCTGTACACCATTGTTTTACTCACCCTAAGATTGACCCTATCTCTGAATCTTCAGTCGAGATTAGCCAGTAACTCATAGGAAAAAAAAAATTTGTCAAACCAGCCAAATGTTTATATGTATCATATCTCTCCCTTATTTTAATTTCATCTCATTTTCATTGAAACCATTTTCCAATTGATCTTTGATCATTTATCTCCAGAATTGGATTATTTTAAACTCTAACAGCCTTTTCTTCTTCAACCATCTTCTCTCTTTCAGATCCACTTGAAATGGAGTATGAGGAGGCGGTCAGTAAGGTGACACTGCAGCAGGTCATCCGCGACCTGGAGCCCTCCACCAGTTACACCTTCTATGTCAAGGCCTACACATCCCATGGAGCCAGTAAACCGTCAGAGAGTGTTGCAGAGACTACTCATGGCGAGGGTGAGTTAGACTCAAATAGAAAGTTAATTTTTCTCCCATAGAATCATTGCAACATGTTACAGTGCAGCGTTAGACCATTTACCATTTATTATTTCCTTAATATTTTAAACATGATTTATGATGTTGGTTAACCTGCTTTGGTTTAGCTTTGTATTCCCAGTCAACATCAGCTCTACCGTTTCTTAAAACTATTTAAAGTTAAGATTAAACAAATATTATAATCTTCATAAAATTATTGTATAACAGCTTATTTTTGTTCCCCCACTCTTACTATATTTTGTTTGTTTCCTACTGTTTTGTGTCTGTTATTTTTATTGACATCTTATTTTGTGTTATAGTGCCTGCTGCTCCTTCTGTCTTCACCAAAGTGCTGAATAGCAGCGTTGTTCAAGTAACGTGGGAATCCTCCACCAAGATGGGCCAGCATCAAGGCTTCAGACTCTACTACAGGAGAGCACACACACCGCTTTTTGTTGGACCTATCCCCTTCCCTCACAACGTTACCCAGTACAACATTACCCAGCTTGGTGAGACCTGTAGTTTTAGATAAAGTAACGAAATGTGTTCTCCTTGTATACAAAGTGATGCAAATCTACAAATCTTTAAAGTTTTAAGATTAATCACCAAACATTGTTAAAGGAATTCCAATTGTTTCTAGGAAAACAAAATTCCTTGGTTGATGAGCAAAAGTAAAATTCTTGACATTTTCTCTTCCAAGGAGCCACACTTACATTAAGAGTAGTATGTCTCCTGATTTTTGTGAAGTCATTAAAACCTGTTTTTGGGACTTTCTCTGTTTTTTACATAAAGTCCGGTACCGGGAAATTTTATAGGTATAGTGAAGGAATTTTCACAAGTTTTTATAAAAGACCAGCCCTCTCCACTTTAAAAAAAAACATGCACAACCCTGTACCTGCTCCAGAGAGGGAACATCTATCAAACTCGTGCGAGAGCATGCACGAGCCCACATCTCCCCGTGCATGCTCTATTTAAAAGTTTCTCTTCTCATAGCTCATACAAGCTTACTGTGTACAAACGTCCACCCTAACCCCTAAATCCCTCATCCCTATATAGTGGCCGTTATAGCAAACTCAGTAAACTTACAGTTCAGACAGATGTATCACTGCTTTTTGCTCCCCGTCCATCACATTCGTAACTCCTACTGCATTGCAAGGAGAGTGCCCCATCCTTGTTATTAGACGCCACTGTTGCAAAGCATCCCGGGATATATCTGCCTTCTGATGCCTTGCTTTACTTCTTACACATTTCGTAGATACTTTTTTCTCTTATGAACCTCGACCATTTTCAAAGAACTGCGGTGAGAAAGGTGAGCTTCAATGATTGTCTGAAACCATAGCTCACCACAGATATATACGCCTGAAAGTGCGCATGCACAAAAAAAGATGGCTAACTGGGGAGGAGCTTTACGTAAACATCACCAGAAAGATCGACTGTATGAGGACCACTTATTGAGACGATCCACCCGGAAATAAAATATCGTCCTCTACACCTTTAAACTAAATATTTTGGTTTAAATTGATTTATTTGAATAAACTAAAGATACAAATTTCCGTCTCTCATAAATATTTTAAGTAGTAACTGGTTTCAGTAACTGATTTTATAAAAGCATGTATTAAGGTACATTCACACAGTCACATTTATGGTGATCAAGGCATGTTCAGGAGCAATGGGAATGCAATGACGCGTCTCAAGCGCATATTAGGCGATCAGGGTTGAGCTATACTGCGAGTATAGGTGATCAGTCTACAGGGTGAGAATTTGCATTACATTAAGCAATCAGGGACCACCATAGCTGGTTGAATCATCCCCCTGCAGCAGCAGAACAGTTCTTGATGCTGGGTCCTAGATAGATGAAGCACTGCTGGAAGTAATCATCCAGCTGCAGCTCCTGTAGGAGTTAGTGATACTGGCTGAACAGAGAGTAGATCTGGTGGTGCTGTCGTTCAGCTTTCCATATCATATATATCACTGTGACTAAGTCTCAGTCATGGTAAGTTAATCTGACAAAATGATCCAGTGTTGCACCATATTCTATGCCCCATCTTATATTATGACCCATATGACACAGAATGTTGTAACACCAGATAGCAGATAGACCCTCCTCTTTTTTGATGACGCAGTGAAGTGAGCTGGACAGAATTTGCCCATAGGGTCTATCAAGGGAGCTGAAATGGAAGGGGACCACCGGCAGGCGACCCTGTGAATGTACTCTTACTAAAAGAAAATTAATAAACACATACATGTTAAAGCCATAAGATTACCCCTTAGTTTGATCTGATGTTCTATTTCTACAAGCTGCTATAGAGCAGTGCGTTCATGGTGATAAGTACCAATAAATCGTATTAAAAATAGAAGTGACTGCCCATGTTACATTAACTTTATGTTGAGGTCATTTTTTTGTATCCCACCTCTATTATTAAGAAACATTAAGGTATTTGGTTTATTAATACTTGGATCTTAAAATTATTTCCTTACTTTATTCAGCCAAGTAAGCATTCAGGAATAATGCGGCCTCAATACTATGGTATAATTGCACTATCAGAGACTTTATATCAGTTGGATTAAAGCACTTGAATTGTAGACGGTCATGAAAGCACAATTTGCACCAATTTATTTAGCTAAAACTATAACCATTTTAAATTTTAAAAAGACTGACAATTGGAATATAGCACTTTACAATCAATTTAGTGATTGTGAACGAACTGCTATGTAGAATAGTTTGAACATCAAAATAAGGGGTCTAACGGACTAGATCCTTGTCTTTTTCTGCGCATGCTCACTTTCAGGTGTATATGTGGGGTGAGTTACGGTTTTGTCCAGTTATTGAAGCTTGGCTTTTTCACCACATTGGAAAAATTGCTGATCTTCTTTTGGAAAGTAAGCTTGTACGAGTGATGCAAACAGTAACTTATAAACAGTGTGCACAAGCAGAAATGAACAAGCATGCTCTCGCACACGTTTTATAGGCGTTCCTTCTCCGGAGCGGGTACAGGGTTATGCATGTGCATTTTTTCTTCAGTGGAGAGGGCAGGTCTTTTAAAAGAATTAGGGAAAAATACTCCCCTATAGCTGTAATTGCATTACATTTTTGTATGGTCACTTCTTTTGGCATTCACCTTTCCCCTGTTCCATTTCTTTTACCACTTTACTGCATGCTGATGAGATGCTGTTGACTTTAGGTTCCTGAATTTGACAGCAAAAGTCCTAAGAAAATAGCCTGACGTAGTCCTACTCAATTCTAGTCAGAATATGAGTCTGATACTGCACCATAGAGCTGTGATTATGGGGCGTGTTTTGAACGAACCAGGAAAAAAAATGCCTCTGCACTCAATTGGATAGACCTACAACCAATAAGAGCAACGGAGTGCGTGACGTACATTAAGCGACGCATAGTTGTTGTCAACAAAAATCAAAGTGTGCAGTTGCACGCCTAGAATAAGAAGATGAGCCTTGATCGCGTTTCTCTGTTCCTCTTTTAAAATTAAATTGCTGTCGATATCTTCTAGAACAGACCTAATAGAAGAATCTAAACACCTCAACTCTCCAGCGGCAGCCATTGTTGTTGTCACCCAAGCGCGCTTTGGTCACGTGGTTGATTACGTTACTGTTGATCATCTGTCCATCATCGTATAAAGCCCGCCCTGACAATTTGATTGGCCCGCCAGATATTGTGCGAGCATACTCGCCTACTATTGAGCAATGCCAGACCGAACTTCCCGACCTCAAACGTTGTGGGCGGGACTAAGTTCGGAATGGCACCCAGGCTAATAAGAAAAATGTTAAAGCGAAATAAAAACATGAAAATCTATTAATTACTCTTTCTTTAGATAATTACAAGAAAGTGTGGATTGTTTTAAACTAGTATCTAAAATTTTATATATGTTATGCTTGGATTTTTAAGACTTTTGAACAGCCTAGTATAGCTAAGTAACATTAGGGGGACAACCTCCATTTTAAGTCTTGATGTCAGAATCGTAAGTCTGCCTATGGTAAATGAGAGATGTGATGCACTGATTATTTCCTATTTGTCTCAGCCTTCCTTTCACAGCAGGATGATGGTAGTTAATGTACTGTACAGTACTGAAATAGCCTCGGAAGCAAGAGCATAGGGTTAGGAAATCGCCTCATTTTTCACAAGAACAGGAACTGGGTTAAAAAAAAAACTATTAAAAAACATTTCTTAACTCCACTGGTGTCATTTAAAAACTGTAATAGTTTTGTTATTGATTAGGAAACTTTTTTTTTTTACTCTTCTCTTTCCAAGTTATGGTCATTTTCTGTTAAAATAAGTGCATTTTTTCTTGGATTTAGTGATTGCCTTGTTCCATTGGCAAAGTGCCAATGGAACAAGGCAATTTACATTTAAAATAAAAAATAAAAGAAAAACAATTGCATTGTCTTATTTCAAGTGCATATTATCTAATTATCTTATTTTAAGAGTTCACCCATTCCATTGGCAAACTATCTTATTAACCTGCTTAACTTAAGGCCAAATACCATTAATTTAAGACCTTTTTACTTATTTAGATCGTTTTTGGAGTGTTTGCTTTGAAATACAGTAAGCACTGCTTTAGTGAATAAAGTAAATGTTCAGATTACTTCCCTCTATCATGTTGTACTACAGTTTTTTATCATTCCCTTAAATATAATTAATTGCTGTAGCAGGATCACAGCTTTTAGTTTAGGGTGATTTCATACAGCTGTCCAGGAAATTATTAAAGTGAGAAATTCACACCTTCAGTTGGAACGGTTTGCTTTCAGAGATTTTTAATTTGGGCCAAACAACATCTTGTAGTTGCAGAAGATTCTTCAAGGGACAGTACTGCGAAGAAGAAAGTCTGTCTAATGAGGTTTCTGTTGCTACAGTACTTTGCTGTTCCCCTCTTCACTATATGCAAAAATAGATCTAAAATAAGAAATGAATGTGCTACTCTAAGCACTGCCCTTAAGTTACATCCTCTCTTCGTGCCTTTGGTACGCCGTGAAAATGATTCTCTAGCCAAAAACTTTCCTGTGTGAGGAAAAACGTATAAATATGTATTGAAGAACAATATGATAGAGATAAAGCGACAGGTTTTATGAGCCGATCAACAGTTTAACCCTGAAAAAACTTGCAAAAATTATTAAATAGAAATTTGATTTTAAGATCATTTAATGTAGTGTATTTTTCTGTCTTTGTCTCAGATTCCTCAATGGTTTATGAGATAAAGCTTCTTGCATACAACCAACATGGAGATGGGAATGCCACCACTAGATTTGTTTCACTCCGTGAGGCACTGGAAAAATCAGGTAATATTTATTCCTCCTTTGATAAAACTCCATTGGGTTTCACATATTCCTTTTCATGTTTGTTTTTTTCTAAAATTATCAAGTCATGACTTAATTTTCATGTGAACCTGCCTTACCTGACCAACTGGTGTTGTGTTTCCACAGTGCTCGATGGGTCGTGTGATTGTATAAAAGATGAACAAAGCAAAACCTCCACCACCGGCATCATAATTGGAATCCACATTGGTGTGACTTGCATTGTCTTCTGTGTGCTTTTCCTTGTCTTCAGCTACCGCGGCAGGTCAGAACCACAGTTCTCACCAAAAATAAAATAGATGGAAGCATTTTCAATCAATTAATGTTTATACTACAGTAAAGTGATTATGTGTTTGTGTTTGGTCTAATCTGCAGGCTAATGATGTGTAAGACAGTTCAGGCCACCCCCCAGGCAGGACACAGTGCAGTCCTGGAATCCTCTTCTTCTTCTCAGGGGGCCTCTGGACTCAATGGGGCTGCCAGGAGAGAGATGGAGGTCAATGGCTGCGCCGCAGGGAAGAAAGCGGTCGACAGCAACGAGCTCCAGAGACTCTTTACTCAACCCACCACGCAGGATGCCTGCATGGTGAGTACCGATGCCAAGAGCTAGAGTTCCAAGCTAACGGAGTGGTTCAAATATTTGAACAATAATTATCATGTGTTACTTTTACTGAAAACACGTTAAGTTTTATTATTTCTTCTAAAAATATACCATCGTGCAAAATCACAAAAGTCATTCCTTTTTATACAAGTTTTATTAATAAACTAGATACATGAACCTATGAATTTAATGTTGGGTTTTAAACAATGTGGCTGCTGAGGAACTTTGCTTTTTCTTGTTTTGTTTATGTATCTGCATTTCCCATTAACGAATAAACAGAAAAACCTCTAAAAACAAACTTATTAAGTCAGTTATTGATTTTACATTTAGAGCAATTGGTACGAAAACATAACACATTTAAGAAAGCTGAAGGTTTCTTCCTGTAAAAAGGGAGTATTCCTCTCCACTGTCGCTACGAGCATGCTTATTGTGAGGGATTACTGTCGAGCCAATGAGTCAATGCAATCAGTGGGTTTTACGTACATAGAAAACTTTGAAGCAATCTGACTGTATGATCTGGTTGATTTGTCTCTATAAAGTGCCTTTAGATGACATGTGTTGTGAATGGGTAATATATAAATAAATTCAATTGAATAAGTATAAAATAGTTTCCTTTCCAGAATATTTTTTATATCTGTGTTGAAATAGTTGATTTACTGAGTGTAATATATCAGTTTATTTACTTTCACTTGATAAGTAAATAAACTGATTTACGTATATGCATTAGAATTGATTTAGGGATCTATTTGTGTTGAACTGCTTGATCGTTGGTGTTTGGGGGGAAAAGGTGCAATTGTAGCTGTGATATAATTATTTTATTCCTTATTTTTGTTTTTTGTTGTATACGCGATCTCTAAAGCCCTAAAAGTAAATCCATAGACGTCATCAAGAGCAACTAATATAACCACTACTTTAACTTTTTAGATTCAATTTAGTTTTATCCATATTACTCCAGTTCCGCAACATGTGCAATTTTACAAAGACGGCTCCTATAAATCATAAACACACAGTTTGGTTACAAGTTTTTTGTCTAATGAAACCTAGCTAACAGTATTGAGTTATTGACTTTGCACAATTCCTTTCTGCCAGATGCTTTTTCAGTCTACAGAGGTTGAACTTTTTTTACTCTCATATATAAGTGCTTTATATATTAAAATATACCTACACCATTGAGATTGAATTAATTAAAATAATAAACTTAAGTAAAACAAAAAGGACAGCAGTATGTTAGTATTTGACTCTTGTTTGCTTGTGTTTCTAGTCCAACTCCTACATACTCAACGACACCCAGCTGTCTACAATACCTTTGGATGAGTTTGTAGAGGAGAGGGAGACGCCATTTCAGCAACATTCTTCAGCCAGAGGGGCTCAGCCGGACCAAGGCTAATCATGTATGAAGGCCCATTCACATTCGGCACTTTTAGTGCCCACTTAGACTTTTCTCTCACTCAGGTCAACAAGTATTTCTTTTCAAAGTATTATTTCCTTTTGTGCAAAGAATTTTTATGGGTAAGTTAAGAGGTTTTAGAGAATCTGGGATGGTTCATTGGAGTGTTTTTTTTTCTTCCTTTTCTGGTGTTGGGCAGCACAGAGAATAAAGACCCCTGAATGTCTTTGTTAAAACTATACTTTTATGTTTATACATGACTGTCACTGGGAAATTTGAAATAGTCACAAATTTGTATAAATCCATTTGGTATATATTTGCTGATTTTTGTGCAAATCTGCTAAAAATATGTCAGAAATAAGAGCCACTATATTCCTTAAAAAACTCACAAAGGGGGGTGATTGTTGTAAGGTCCAGTAGATGTGTCTAAAAGTTAAGGTGGATAGCCAAAAATATCTAAAAATCATTGGTTCTATTGTAGAGATATGTTTTCCAAGTTTTGTGACTACTTCCCATTTTTCTGTGAGACTTGGCTTTGAGATGCATATAAATGCCGACACTCTGATGTTATCATCCATGTGTTGAAGTGGTTATAAGTTGTTGGTTTTATCTCTGTGCTTCTGTGGATGTCAAAGACTTGCTGCCTGCTCTTAACCACCAACGGGTCCATCTTTGTTCTCAGAAAAAAAAACCTCAACCTTCTTCCAGGGATTTCAAAATATATTCTGTCTCAGGACTTTATTTCAGTAATATCAACATTTTAATGAGTTCTCGGCCTTCATACAGGTTCTAGACTTGGCTGTGTGAACCTTACAAGTTGACAAAAGCCTACCTCAGCCGGAATGAATGTGTTGCGGGAAGTTGTAGGAACTTTGCCTTCCCCCCATGCTCATGGTCACTATATATTCGGAGGAACCAGTTGTTTCCATAACTACAACGTCAGGTGCCGCTCTACCTCAGAAGCCAACAATCGTCTCTCCTCTCCCTCTTATTAATGGACAAAAGAGCATTCAACATAAAGCACTTCCAAATGCTGAAATTATTGTTCTACCTCAAGATAACAGAATTAATGTTGTCACTGTTGTTGTAGTTTATTTTATTTTTCTATTGTATAATGAAAAACCCTTCTTCTTCTTCTTCCTCTCCCTTTGTAAAGTCCCGGCTCCTTCCCTCTGTGGTTGAATATGATGTCTGTAGAGCGTCAGTACCTCATGCAAGTTGACAGATTGGTAAAATTATATACAATGTGTTGAAAAATATGTATAAATTAAGCTGGGAGCTATCTTCCTGCATGTTATTTTAATTTAAAGGTCACAATTGTCAATAGAGATAGGTTGAGTGTAAGGAAAGGTTAGAGATACACTGCGTTACAATTCATGAGGTCTGATATTTATTGTCAAACTGAACAGGAAACGGTATATTATTGATGCAGCCACAGCAGTTGCAGTGATTATTAATATATGTTTTTATTTTTTTAGACAGATAATGTAGGTTTAATAACTAGTAAATGAAGAAAAACTCAAAATTATTTTTCTCATAGTATTGGTGTCAGGACTCTAGTGTCCAATTTGATTTGATGTTTATTGGCTGAAGATATGAAGGTCGATGCTGCTCCTTCATATTTTTCCCACCTTGAAATCAAATAATTTGTATCACTATACCTTTGCAAAAACTCCAAGCGACATATTTTAATTTCTAATTTAAATTTCATTAATTTGTTATTACTCTTCTATGAATACAAGAGAAGCAGGAGAATCTCAGAACATCAGGCTTATGTACTTATTTACAGTCTTCCAAAAAGTATTCAAACACCCTAAACCTTTTGGTCCATTATGACATATAATTACAACCATCAATATATATTACTGGGATTTTATGTAGCAAAAAACAACAACGACATATTGTATATCTGGGTATATGTACTGGGTTCCACAGGCCCTGGGCATTGTGGGAAATTTTTTCTGGAGTGTGTTTCTACCAAGTTTGTGATTTTCAGCCATTCCTCTTTGCAAAGTGGCTCAGGCTTTGTCAGATTGGGTGGAAACCATCTTTGATCATTAGTTCGGAAATCTTTGCACAAATAAATGCATTCAGACCATTCTAAAACATGAATATGACTCAATTTAGACCAGCTCTGTCTACATGTGTATTCGGAGGCCATTAACCTGATTGAGGGTTAACTTCTCCCCAAGTTTTAAGTATTTTGCTGCCTCTTGCACATGTTTTTTTCAGGATGACAAAAATTCAAACCTGAGCTGTATATCTCTGCAGCTCCTGGACATGAGCCTCTTGGCTGCTTGTCTCATTAATGCTGATCTTCTTCAGCATGTCAGTTTCTAGTGATTAATTGAACATAGCTTTCAGATTACTGAATTAGTATTAAAATGATTGTAAAATGTGTCCCTATTGTGTTGGGAGTGTTCCTTTTTCTTTGTGGTTTTGGCCTTTGTGAAGGAACATTTTATCTTTCACTTTGCAAATGGGTGCTACCTTGTTTTGTTGTATCTTACAAAATCCCATTAATATGTATGGAGGTCTGTGGTTATAAAGTGACACAACATAAAAAAGTCAAAGGTAGATGGAGATCTAAACAGGACTAAAGTCTGTTTTTAGGTGTCTTTTTTAGCATATCTTAGTGTTAGAAATTGATGCAGGAGATATAAACAGGTCAACAAAATCCCACCAATTTTTTTGGTTTGTTCAACTGATTTTGGAGAAAATTCATAGAGTATTGTTGATCCCTCGTTAGAACCTTAATGCACATTTTTGTTTTAAAACTGTAATTGACAAACATTGATTAATGATCTTTAAAACGAAAACCTAATTTCTATTTCCCTAAAAGAATAAATGTCAAAAATGTATTTTCATCATGTAGATGGTAGGCAGTGTATCTCTAACTCTTGTACGAATATTTGTTGCTGCATTATTATTACCGGTAAGTGCTTTTTATTTTGCATGATATCATCTGACATTTTTTTCTGTTAAAGAAACAGTAGCCTTTTAAACATCTGGTGCCCAGTAGATAAAGGATATTATGTGTCTATTCAGTCTACTGTAACTCTTCCCAAAACCACCCAAGCTGCTCACCACGTCTCTCAAGACACGCCAGGATCATCTGCCTTTTAGTTCTTAGACTGATGACTGCAGACCGACAGCTGGCTGAAGGAGACATGCGAATAGAGATTGTTGAGTAGCTGAACATTCACACCCTCTATGCAGCTCAGTGCTCTCTTTCATCACAGATGCATTTTGGTTACCTACCTCAACCCTGATATTGGCCTTTCTCTCAGGTTCTAATGAAGGAAACTATATAGCATGGACAATAAAATGGTGAACTGTAGTATGTTGACAAAACAGAATCAATATTTAGCCGCACAAATGGAGGGAGAACTTTTCAGGACCTTTATATCATGCACTAACTTTGTAAACATTTACATCTTTAGCTACTTAAAGATGTTTTGGACATTATTATCTCTCACTTACAGTTTGCTTGTGTCGTGAAAACTCAGAAAAAAGTGGGCGACATTCATAACACCCAAATCCTCACGATTGGTTTATTGATTTTTCTCTCTGGCTAAGACTGATTAATGACCTTGACTAGAATAGGCTACGATTATTTATTATTTATTAATTTTCAAAATGAAATGTGGAAAGTTAAGTTTGGACGAGGCCCTCTGCAGTCATTTTAATTCGCAATACAAACTAAAACTTCTTCTTTAATGGTTACTATAGTTATAATTATTATAAACAGTTGAACCTTTTTGTTAGTTATTTAGACTTAATTTTCTGTTGATATTTTGCATACTTGTACTTAGTTGTTAATATCAAATTGCAGGTGTTAGGGGAAAGAAGCAGGGCCCAAGTAGATGATCAGATGTCAAACCTAAATGTCTCTTCTGTGTATATTTTTAACAACAATTAATATTTCCCTCAGAGCTTCTCTCAGCCAGAATCTGTACATTACTGTGTTTTTTTTATCATCTGTAGGGAGTAGCTTTACTAGCGATCCACTAATCTAGTGCAATTCAGTTATCGTGTGCGTATGGTTAGACCTTGATACATCAGGCTGTCATGTTGCAGCATGACGTTAAAACTTGTCAGATTCAACTGATTGTACAGAGCTGTAATCACAGACTGAGTGGTGCTGTTACTCTATCAGCAAAAGGGACTGTGTGACTCTTTTGCTAATAACTTAAGTAAAACGGTTAGGATTTATCCAACATGTTAACAGCCTTTTTTTTTTTTCTTTTAACATCCACGCTCCACAACTCATGGATCCTTACTAATTCAAATCAAACTTGGTTTGTTTTATAATTCTGCATTATTTTCAGTTGAAACATATTTTTAATCATCTCTGTTGGACATTTAAGTAAATATAAAGATAATAGGCAGAGTTATAAATCGATACAAGTGTTTTATTTGCAAGGAAGGAATATGACATATTCATCTTTAGCACACCTAAGGAGGATAAGCATTAACATTAGGGTATACTGCATGGCTAGGGAAATGGTTTGAGGAAAGCTAACATTCACTGGTATAACTGAAAGTTTTCAAAATTAGATCAAAAGTAACTGTATGATGTATGAAAATCTTGTTTAGGTTTGATTATTATTTTTTTATATAGTATCAATGGAATAATCATTAAATCAATATTTTTTGCAGTGGATCTTCCTTAAGTGCTCAAAAAATTCATGTTTCATTTTAAATAATATGATATCTGATCTTTATTTACCTACCCTGAGCATCTATATCTTCCCTATTACTCATCTAAACATAAAACAAATAGAGTTAGTTGGAAAAAACAAAAGCTAGTTCTGACCAAAGTCATATTCTACATCTCTAGGTTCTGTTCTCCATAAAACTAATGATTATAAAATCTGATATAATCAAAAACTTTCAAAAAGCTCACATAAAATGCAATCAGCTCTTCTCTTGGAAAGACCCTTGACATCAATCAAACACTGGGATACGATTGTGAAATGCTTCTAATTACAACAAATTAATTTGTTTGGTGTTCTTCTGGGACCCCAACCTCTGCCCCCCACCCCGCAATATGACTTCAAATGTTTATAACTTATCCTTAGTTTTAAGATGTTCTAACTAATTTATTGTCAACTGGTGATATGCTGTAACTGTTCTTCAATGTTTTGAGATCAGTATTATATTTTTGCATACTTCTTTCATGAAGGCAGATTAAATCCAGTGTGTTTAAAAGTAGTAGGTAAAGTAAACTCTACTGTAGATCTGCATGGAAAAATAAAAAAGCTAATGTATTATTTTAGCTCAATTGAGACGTGTTAGTAAATTCTTATTGGACTTGTGATGGTAACACTGTGATATTCAGCCACATAATGGCAAAAAAAAAAACAATGTTGTGATCCCAGTATGGTACTATTGATGGTCCTGTCTCACATTGTCAGTCGATCTGTTTTAATGGTGTGTATTGATGAAAAAAGGCTGAGTGACCTTTTCAGTTGACAAACTCTGTCTTGCCCCTCATTGGTGCCTGATGATCACCTTATCCACATCCTGTCCCCATCTGGCATCCTGTCTAGTCCTGTCAGTCTTGTTACCTTTTTTGAAATAGCACGTTGTGTTTATTTTCCCCTCAAACAGCACCTTTGCTTGAGGAGAATGTCTGGGTTGTATCGATGTTGCTAACACGAGCTAAAGCCACCTTCTAAGCCTCAGGAAAAAGGAAAAGAGCTTCTGGGTAGAATTAGATCTGCAAGTTGAACTGACTACACAAAGTCCTTTGCATTAATTTTAGGATTAAATGCTTAAGTCAATGAAAGCCTTCTGGTAAAAACACTGAGACATCCATTGAATGTTTATAAGTAGATAATAACATGGGCAGGCTAAGCTTGTTACACAGCATCTCCTTAAAGGAGAAGAATTATGTCAACATATTGTCAATATAACTAAAGGTAAGAACATATGATCTGCTCTAACTGTTAGGGTTCAATCAAGGTTCTGGGTAAATGTTATACAGACAAAATTAAACGAAGTATTAAGTTCCAAACTTAACTTCAGATTTATTCGATTTAGGAGTTAAAATCTCACACTTTGGTTATTTACCTCCTGTAGTATATGCCCCGTTCACACTACTCCTCTGAAACCTTTCTGTGCCGAGTTCGGACCGATTTTGGATCAGTTAACCGTGTCGAGCTTGGTTCCTTACGACCATTTACACATCATGCTAGAACGGTTTCTCAACTCTCATCGGCAGTCCACGATACTACAGCTCTAAAGGAGCGATTACACAAACAAAAATGGTGGCACCCATAACATTCAGGAATTCCAAAAAAGTAAAAAAAAAAAAACACTGGGCTTTGTTTTCCAAGTCTGAAGACGTTTCACATCCCATGCAGGAAGCTTTTTCAATTAAAAAATTTTGAAAAAGCTTCCTAGATGGGAAGCGAAACGTCTTGAAACTTGGAAAACAAAGTGGGTTTTTTTTTTTTTTTACTTTTTTGGAATGACTATGACTTGGATGACTGAGAATCTTCACCAGCAACATACAGGAAGTTATGTACCTAGATAGCATCCTCCACCCAATTTTCAATGAGAGTGTCAGTCTTGGCATCATCCTAGGTCGCACCATGCTATTTTGATGCCATTTATTGTTAATAGGCTGAGAAGAACTCCAGTTAAGTTGCATTCCATTTTACACTCAAAAGTTATCTCGGTTAACGTGCTCGGACAGTTCTCTGCACGGTTTCAAAAGGTAGTGTAAATGGGACTATAAAGTCATAACAAATTGCAATAATAATCTATTTTTGAAGTAATACAGTCCACAGTTACAACACCAATAAATGGATTAGGTGCTGAATATTACAACTTCTGCTTTTGTTAGATAGATTTGATAAATTGGATTGCAAGATGTGTTGTATTGGCAAATAAACAAAAACAGCTCACTGCTTTCTCAGAGTATCAACTTTTCTCTTTCTTTTAGAGAATCCATTATTACCTACAAGGTTATCCGGTAAAACTCATTTCAGCTTTTACAGGGATTAGTGTGGCAAATGCTACTGTAAGCATTTCCTGTCATCTATTTAGTCGAATTTCTATAATGTCCTGCAGGGTTTTAACATGGTGCCAATGTGAAAACAGATAATATACACTGTGCATTTTTATATGTTTCATATGTTGTTTGGCTGTGATTAACTTCCCCTAATGAAATAAGGGAGCACAAATCCTTATAATCAGCTCATTATCATACATAATCACACCTGTGTATCTGTGTGAGTGAATGTTTTTGTTCTTTTTTTAGAAAATTGGCTTGAATGTCTGTCTGCTGAGGTCACTGCCAATATCTGCTTTTTAAACAAGGTTTGATTCAGGTCAACACGAAATATCTTAACTCCTGCTCTCACAGCATTGTCGGGGATCTCTCATGTATGTTTTCATAAAGTTTTGTGTCTACGATCTCCTTTAACCAGGGTGTCACAATTCTAAGTTATGAAACTCTATACATATCCACATATACTGTATGGTTTGTATGTGTGTATGTATAAATGTACAAAAAGACAATTTCCAATGGTTTGTATTGTTTAGGGTTTATTGTTCAACACTGATTAAAAAAAATCTGTAATAATAAAATAGCTCTAGTAATATTAAACCTACTTGTTGGTCTTCCCATGTCTGTTTGTCTGTGTGCCTTGTGGAAAGTAATGAAAAACTTGCGTTTGCCAGCTTTGTTCTTCCAGCTGTCCGCAGAGATGCAGCTGATCAATGCAATGCACTTTTATTGGCTCTCTCTCTCCTTTCTTTTCTCCTGTTTGGCACATTAACTCATGGCCTCCTGGCCAGACAAAGGCTATCGAGCACAAAGCCTAGAGCTCCTGGTCGATGAGGTTTGGTGCCAGGCTTACAATAAAGCTAAATCCCAATGCATGACTGCACTTTGAGACAAACCCAAAGTCCAATATAAGTCAGCTGTCTCTTTATGCTCCCCCTCCTGAGTAAAGCACCAAAAGAAGCTTACCTTTAGTTGTGGTTTTTTGACCTGTCTTTACTATCACTGCTCTTAGTATTGAATAATTTACCACCATGGAATGCAGAAACAACAAAACAACATGTTTATCCAAACAAAATGCAATAAATCAGTGTTCAGATTGAGTGCTTTTTTTCTTACTATAAATATGCAGAAATAAAACGGAATGTAAACGGGAAAGAACAATTGGATTTAAAGGAATCCAATGTGCAACTAATGAGCTGTACATAAACATGTCCCTTTTTTCAGCAGTAACCTTTCTTATCCTGCATGGTGAAACCCATCCAGTCTGTATTTCACAGTTTCAGTTGTAATCTTTTTTACCAATTCCTGACTTAACAAATGGGCTAGTTTAATATAGCATAGTTTCTTTTAACTTGTTTTTTTTTTTTTTTATTAAAAGCAATAATATCCCATTTGTCTTTCCCAATTTAAGGAACGAATACAAAAAAGGCCATGTATGTAAGCCAGGGATGCAGAGAGTCATTGATTATGGTGCAATAGATCCAGAATGCTATGATAAACATAAAATGTAAAGCATACATTCAAATATTTTTAGTAAAATTACAAAATGCTAGACACGTTATGCTTCAGCATAGTTTCCTTAGCCAGGTAGTTGCAAATTTCCAAAAGATAAAACGAGTTTATTTACATAAATAATGGATGACAGCATCTAAATACAACAGATGAGTTGTTTGGAGGAGTTCAAGTTTATGAAAACATCTAAGTGTGAATGAGGAGACGAAAGTGAGCTTAGTCTTCAGAAGTTGGAAGACAGGAGGATACTGTAATCCTGACAGTGTGTTTTGATGCAGAGACAATGAGATGCCACTGAGGTTTCCAGTACAGCTTTTGCTGCAATACGCGACATAAAGTGAGTGTTGAGGGAGCACATTCAGATCTGGGAAGAAACAAAAGAATTGCTGGAAAGAATGGCACCTAAGAGAAAGTTGAGCTTGAGCTTCAGATGATGACTGAACTTTTCTAGAGCGGATCCAGCGATGAGTCATTGAAGCCAACTCATGGAGACATTTAACTGTTCAATGAAAGTAAAACATTTAAGAAATAATTTGAGGAGAAGCACAGGTGGCTTGATCCTCCCAGGGAGACTGATCATCAGGGGAAGGGTGGTCTAACAACAGCTCAGTTAAATCCCCAGCAGCCTGATGATACTGATAGCACTCAGATGAGAAAACTGCAGAAACCAAGCCACACCTTACAAGAGAGCTCCTTTGTTCAGGAAAGACTTTTATATTATGTACAAACACAGTGACACCTGTGAAACACAAGACTCCCAAATTAAAATACTGAGAATATAACAAAAAACATTACAAACAACACAAGGAGCTGAACAAATTCACTGCTGCCAATAGTGTAAGATCAGGAAATATAAGGTAAACTTTAGATCAGTCATAACAAAAGAAAAAAAACCTGGATTATCTGAGACTACCATGGAGAACATCAAAACCTTCTTATAAAAATGGAATACATTAGTAAAGATCGGTGTATTTTGAGGAGAAATGCTATTGTGGAGCAGCATGGTGTCACAGATTTACCAGAGACGCTCAACAGTAGTTTCCGTTTAACAGCTTCCCCCTCTTCCTTATATATGCAACAAAAAACATCCAGAAATACAACAATTGAGACTCTATCCCCAACTGGACCACTTCAGCTTGGTCAAAGTTCCCTCTGACCCGTCAGCATTTAGAGAAAGACCATAATGTCTCAGGAGATCCCAGAGGACTGTGAGGTGGGGCACAGATGTCTTTTGGTTCCTCACGCTGATTGCATTTTAGGAGCTCAAAGGGAGCAGCAGAGGGAGGGAGGGGTCAGAGGTTAGTGTGACAACAACCAGTCAGACTCTCCTACCTACAATATTCAGTCTTTCTGCTTCTCCCTCCTCTTTCTTTAACTGCCCACAGATTTCCTCTGCATTAACACTTTCCCCAGATGACATCCCTCTAGTCATGTCACCCTGTCAGCTACTGTTTTATTTTCTAAAGGCAATTGCAAGTTGTGCGTTTTAGACTTTTTGTGAAAGTTGGTTTGTTTGTAACACCATATAGGTTAAATAACATTACATTAAGTTAAGGTAGACAATGTACCCGAGCTCCCTCAAGTAAGAAAAAAGGAGGGAAAAGGGAAAGCATGGGAAAGGGGGAGGGGTAGAGAGGTTGCATTCCCTGTGTGCACATCGATGTGCAGAGTAGGACAAAGAAAGGATGAGGGTGGAACAAAGAGCAAAGGATGGAGGTGTGAGGATTCCAGCTTCAGCTTCAAGAAGTGCAAAGATTTAAGGAGGTGGCAATGCATGGTCAAAAGCATAAAGATCTGAATCTACAAAGCTATGCAGAAATTTGAGGTTTTATTCATAAAACATGAATACTGAGGTTGAGGATTTACATTGTAAGCTGATAGTTTCAAATTATATGAATTTCCCCAGTGATCATCCTTGACATACGAACACCATGTGGAATATTCTCTAAAGAAAGCCCACTAAATTGGACATTTAAGAAGAGTGTGCAGACTTATTTCCAACAGACAAAAAAAGCCCTGACGCACTTGCAAATTTCACAGTGTTATGGCCCTGAACACTGCATGGAAATCATGCAACTGGGAAATTGTTCACTCTGTGATTTAGCAGCAGTAATACTGCATCTGGGAAGCCAGTGTTGCTGAATTTTTATCTACAGATCCAAAACCATTATGTTCAATGAGGTCACTTGGTTTTAATAAAAAAATGTTTTATACTAGTGCTGTCAAAATTATCGCGTTATTATCGCGTTAACGCGAGGCCATTTTAACGGCGATAATTTTTTTAACGTGAGATTAACGCTATGTGGTTTTATGGTACAATTTTCCAAGTACATCCCGCTGCAGCCTGCGGGAAGGCGGGGCTATTTTCCCCCAGTCTGTGCATTTCTCATAGGCTTCAAGAAGGCTAAAGAAAGCCCACTAAATTGGACATTTAAGAAGAGTGTGCAGACTTATTTCCAACAGACAAAAAAAGCCCTGATGCACTTGCAAATTTCACAGTGTTATGGCCCTGAACACTGCATGGAAATCATGCAACTGGGAAATTGTTCACTCTGTGATTTAGCAGCAGTAATACTGCATCTGGGAAGCCAGTGTTGCTGAATTTTTATCTACAGATCCAAAACCATTATGTTCAATGAGGTCACTTGGTTTTAATAAAAAAATGTTTTATACTAGTGCTGTCAAAATTATCGCGTTATTATCGCGTTAACGCGAGGCCATTTTAACGGCGATAATTTTTTTAACGTGAGATTAACGCTATGTGGTTTGATGGTACAATTTTCCAAGTACATCCCGCTGCAGCCTGCGGGAA